GTTTGGAAAATGGCATGTGTCTATAATACAGAAGATGAATCCCACGAGTATGTAGATATCCTAGTGTGGTTATTGTGAGAATCAGGCAGGACCACAGACAGTTCAGCCACGACTCGACGTCCCAGGGAATCAAATCCAGTGACTCAGGATAGAGGACCCGGCAGCAGGATCAGGACCAGGATCCAGGATCAGGATCCAGGACCAGGATAGAGGATCCAGGACACAGGATCCAGGACTCAGGATCCAGGACTCAGGATAGAGGATCCAGGCACAGGATCCAGGACACAGGACCCAGAACGATCAGCCTCGACTCAGGTTGATCCCAGGCGTAGGATAGACCCACAAAAGATAATTGAGTACTGGTGTTATTGGAACATGATGAGCAGCAGGACAGAAGTGAAGAAGTAAAGTGTCCCCCGGCAGTCTAAGGCCTATAGCAGCAAATTTAACATGTTACGTTACATGCACCCCTTACGGATTAGGTTGTTTCTGGCACTGACACCAATCAACAGTGTCGTCGACTGCAGCAGGGATCAAGGCACGTATTTGGCTTGTCTTTCCGGCTTCCCGTCTACACACAGCAACAGATTACATCTATACGTAGTGAGAAAGGTAAGAACTAAGATGTATAGGTGCAGAGGGCACAACGTGTTAACGTCAATGCACTCTTATTAGATTCTTTTAATCAACTTTATTGAAGGCCCTGGACATTGCGACGGAGCAACTGCAAGAGGCTGGCGGAGGACGGACGAAGTGGCGCCCAGGCAGCTGCACGAAGGGGTGACAGACTTGACCAAAGACTGGATTCGTGGACGTTGCTCAAAAACGTGGGAATATGTATCCCTCTGATTGCATGTACAATCTCTTTGTAGATTGTCTTGCCAATAATAAATAGCTTTATCAAAAAGGAAGGTCTAAGCCACTCTTAAAAACGGATAGGCTGTCTGCCGCCCGAACACAAACTGGAAGCTGATTCCCCAAAGTTGAGTGGATAAGAAGGCGCGGGCTTCCCATTGTACTTTAGAGGACTCTAATCTTGCATCTTGGCATTATTCTTATTCTCATCTATTATGTAAGAGTAGTAGGCTGCTCTCGCTTTACGCGTGCTTTCTTATATTCATTGAGAATAATATGCCAAATTAAACGAGATTCTTCACGGTTTAGTGGAACGCCATATCCTTTCAGTTAATTTCGCCAGAGTCTGTTGTTCTTATGTTTCTTCTTTTTCAAAGGAGCCGAACAGAGTCTAATTTTATTCGCAGCGCATCTGTAGCACTATCAACAACACATGATCAATTTGGGGTGTGTACATTTCGTTCATAAGTCTTCCTCCCTTTACATGACAGACATGTATCGAGTTAAGTATGTGAATCTCTTTCCTTAATTTTGCTATAGCTACTATAGCTTAGTTTCTGCTGCAGGAGCTTTGGCTAATGCTTTGTATGATCTAGTAACAGTACTTCAAAAGTTACTAAGAAAATGGTCGTTAAAGCAGGATTATGCGGTTCGACTAATAGTTGCTCAATTTCAATACCCATAGTCAGAACAAGGTCGAGAGTTGTGATTATAGCAGTGGGTTGGTTTATTTCACTGCTGACGGAACCAACAGAATCTAATATAGAGTTAAATGCAACAGTAAGGCTATTTTTGATCATCGTCACCATGAATATAAAGTCTGCAAGTTTCCAGTCGATGCCGTTAAAACTAAAACGGGCTTTGCCAAAGGAGGTATATTTTAATTTTGGTTTTAGTATTGATAAGTAAACTGAGTCAAAGATTGCTGCAACTCCACCTCCTCGGCCCGTGTGCCTCGGGCAATATGCAGTATTTGATATGGTGGGTGGAGTGGCCTCATTTATGCTGACATATTCTATACAGCATATATCAATATTATAATCTGAATATTCAATAATTTACCAATATTGCTTTAGATGTTAGAGATCTTATGTTTAAGAGACCACATTTAATCTACCTATTTTCTAGTAGTTGTTACATTTACTTTTATTAGGTTATTATGTATGATACCTCTATTAGGTTTTACCTTAAATTGTCCTTGGGCAGACACACACACCGTTAATAGTGGGTATTTGATTGGGTTCGGTATTCCTATGGATGACTGCCTAGGAGAGAGCGCAGAGAAGCGTGTAAGACTGCGACTCCGCCTCCTGGTCTCAACTCCAGTTTGTCATGGATTGAGTCCACAAAGCCCTGAAATGTTTGCCGAAATGAGATTTGCACCTTCCAAAGTAGGATGAATGCCGTCTCTCTTAATCAGACCAGGTGTTTCCCTGAAGGCTGTCCAATTATTTACGAAGCCCACATTGTTTGCTGGGCACCACCAAGACAACCAGCGCTGAAATGATGATATGCGGCTATACATGTCATCATTGATCAGATTGATCCTACCGTTACATGTAATCCGTTACTCTCCAATCCTGCTCACACACACACATGCACACACACGCACGCACGCACGCACGCACGCACGCACGCACGCACACACACACTTTTCCTACATGCAAACACAGTTCATTCCTGTTTCCAACATTATTTTTAAATATACGCCAAAGCTGCAAAATAAATCAATCCATTGTTCCTGCCAGTATCGATTTTTCTTTTTTCTCCCTCCAACTTTATTCTAACCTTCACACCCTGTGAGGGGTCATGCCATCTCCCCCTCATCGGGTGTGAAGGTCAACAGTGAGTGCTTTCAAGATTTAAATAAACACACACTCACACACACACTCCTCGTTTGTAGCAAAGTGGGATCTTTCTCCAATCAAACGCTGCTGTTGCCAAGGCAACGGATGTAGAGAGCAGTCATAGGTGGGTGGCGATGCCCGGCAGCGATCTGTCTGGAGGGCTCTCATTGGCCTCTCCACGGCTACCCACAATCCTTTGCTGCATTGTTGCACCCCCCCTTCTCTCTCATTCTCCCTCTCTGAATGTGACCCGATGAGGAGGTCAAAGAGGAGGTGTGTGTGTGTGTGTGTGTGTGTGTGTGTGTGTGTGTGTGTGTGTGTGTGTGTGTGTGTGTGTGTGTGTGTGTGTGTAATGATTTATTTTTGTTAGGTGGAAATATTGTAGTTTTGCATTCCAATGTATAAGAAGTAATGGAAAGTAACGTATACTCAAGTTCTGTTTTGAAGTGAGGTGTTTTACTTGAGTATTTCCATGTTAGGGTGCTTCAACTCCATTTCATTTATTTGATTTGTTCATGTTGTGATTGGTTAGCGGCTTAGAGATGTCCCGCCTCAGGAAGTTAACAAAGGATCCCAATGGAGGCGTTTCAGGCATTTTACAAAGGAAATGATCTTATAAACAACATTTGATCAATCTCTCTATAGATGCATTGATCAATGTAATGATGTATTTTAACTCTTTTTCTGGCATTGATGCAGTGAGTTAAAGAGGAACTCATCACTTTTACACAGTGCGGCCCTGGGCTTTCTCTCGAACCGAGCCTCTTTCTGTTGTTTTTTACTCTCCCCAAGGTAGTTTAGTTTTTTGCTTGTTGATGGTCCGCAGATGGATTAAAGAAGTGGCGTGTAATACTGAGGAAGACTTATTGTGCTTTTCCAGCCT